TCACTCTCTTTTATTTGCTTCCGGATCCTGTCTATCAACGTGACTTTTTCCCTGTAACTTACCAGGCTGTAGCCTCCAGATTCACCCTGCATCTTGGCCTATCATTCCCACCCAGGTTGGATTCACCTTGTGCTAATAAGGGTCTATTGGTCCTGGCCACACGTCTCTAGACTCCAGTGCCCACTGCACCCTGTCCCCTCCCTCAACTGTGGCTTCTGGGTTGTGACCTCATCTCTCTTGGAAATGGGTTGCATTATCTCTAAAGCATTTTTTCAGCTCTTACAATCCTGCCTCTGTCTCTGACTATGTTCTGTGTATGCAAAAAAAGCTTCAGTAAACTGTCGTGAATTTGCTTGGTCATTAACTGGATGAAAAAAACAATAAACCCTTGTATTTCTCTAATGGTTTATAGCTTTCAAAATCATTATCAGGGCCTGGTGCAGTTGCTCACACTTGTAATCCTAGCACTTTGGGAGGCCAATGCAGGAAGATTACTTGAGGACAGGCGTTTGAGACCAGCCTGGACAACACAGCAAGACCTTGCATCTACAAAATATATATATTTTTTAATTATCCAAAAACAATTTCAAGTATCCCCCAAACCAGTTGTATGAAACAAAGTGAAATCTCTACTCAACTCAGAATTTAGGATTTCTTGGCAGGACGGCATCTGTGTGTATGCACCATTGCCCAGATGTTCAGAGGTAGTAACTTTGCTTTTAATAAATGACACCACTCCTGCTCACATACCTGCCCCAATTCCTTTGGGATCTGGATCCCACATTCAAAGTCTCCCCCTTTTTTATCCCCATAATCAGCTGTGGCACAGGACATTTGGATGCTGTGTTCCAAAAGCACGAGGCCTCTGGCTGTTTGTCCCTGAAGTGCCATAATTGGCCTCAGGCTTCTGCAAGAGTCACAAACTAGTGAGTAAAATGCATTTGCCCCACGGCCCAGAGGTGACACAAATATCTAGTTTCTGCAATCTCAATCCAAACCTATCTCTTTCCTCCAAACCAGGCAAGCTTTTTTCAATAACCAGCGGCTCATGTATTAAATAACACAACATGGAACTTTTAAAAACATTTATATTTATATATATAAAAAAATTAAATATATATAATATATAGTGTGTTTGAGACTAAAAATATAGTACATAATATTTTAAAAAAAAGAAAAAAAGGCAGAATAGGAAAAAGGTGTGAGGGACACACAGATACACATTGCTAAAAATCTACGATGGTTTGTCCTAACAAAAATAATATTTGTTTTCTCTTCTCTTAATTATCATCATGGATCCATTTATTATTGGGGTTTGGGCAGAGAAAATTCAAATGGTGCCAGAAATGGCAATTGCAATCCCAAGAATGGCTAGGGGTAGAAAATGTGACTAGAGGGAACCCCGGGCCTTTTTCTGGTGAAATTGTAGGCAGCAAAATCTTGGTCACTACTGCCACCAAGATTAGGCTGAGTTTGATTGCACTGGCAATCTGGCTGCTCTCTTCTAGAGCTAGAGTATTCCCAGGGGCAACGTCAGAAGAGCTCTAGAAGCCCACAGAAGAGCCCAGGGCCCACCCACGCTCAAAGGCCTGTGATCTGGGCCTTTGAAAAAGCCAAGGATGGGGACAGCAGACTGATAGGAATGAGCGATAGTTCTATGCAAACGGAGTTATTATTATTGTTATTATTTTTAAGGGCAGGGTTGTACCACAACTGCCCCGTATAGCCTGTGACTTCTGCACAGCAATCATTTCTCCAGGTACAGGGCCTGGAGCTCCCTCACAGTGATGCAGGAAAATGGGATTTTGCCCCCAGCTCTAGTCCCCTCTGTTTAGCCCAGACGGAGTGTTCGGACCCAGCAGACATAGGTCAGCCAATGCCTTTCAGAAAGTCTGACCTTGGGAGAGAAAAGATACCCTGGGGGGAGACCAAGAGAAAGGAATGGGATCTTTAAAAGCTAATTTGACAGTTTCTTCAGAAAAACAGCCATCCTTCCAATCACACCCCCTGGTCTGTGCAAGGCTATGGGCAGTGCTCATCACAGCCACCACCACAGCTAGCACCAGGTCAGGAGCTCCACTCACCCCTTCCTAGGATTCTCAACATGCAGAATAGCCTAGAGAGGCACAGAGCAGTGACCAGGCTCAGACCAGACTAACAAGGCAGGGAAGTCCTTGGGAGGGCCCAGAATTCAGTCATGGGGACACGACTGTCCACATAGCAAAGAACAAGGAAGTGACCCAGCCAATTCACTCCAACTGGGGGCTTGGGTTTCATGTGGTTTTCTTCAAATCCAAATGGCCCAACATTGCTATGTATGTGGGTCAAATATATCAACAGGCCAGTCCATTTTAAGGAGCCTAGGACCTGTGACTTCTGACAAGACAACCTGCAGGTTGACAGACCCTGGTGCTGTGAGCCCCACGCTGCAAACCAGAACAGGCTTCCTGCAAAGTGATGAGAGTGGTAACTACTGGGGAAAGGGGGCACATACCGCCCAGGGATAGGGGGTCAGACTAGCGTCTCCACCTCCAACAAGGCAGTTCTGAGAGCACTGCACCACTTCCACTCTGGCCTGCCTTTCTTCTCTTATGGCTTTGGCTTCATAAAAATTCTTTGACCGGACTTTGGGAGATCCAGAATTTAGGACACTGGCCGGGGTCTCCAAAAAGAGACCTTGGCTCATACAGAATCACAAGAGCCTCTTCAAGATTAGAGTTTCTGTCAAACCTTCCTCTGCCAGTTCCCCGTGCAAATGGCTCCTTCCCACAGGGTCAGCTGTGCTTACTCCCTGTCCCCTGGGGCTCCAGGCACCCTGGGCTGCAGGCTTCACTGCTTGGTAAGGGGGATGTGTTGTCGAGGCCAAGGAGATAATCCTGACCACTGGGGTACAGGGAGGCTGCCCCCATTTCCCCTACACAAGTAGGTGACTGAAATCCGGGTACACAGGAAAGGAAACGAAGCAGGCCCTGCCCTGGCAAGAGACACCTCTGCACACCTGTCACAATTAAGTGACCCAATAGCTACAGGACAACCCATATAATTTTGCTGTGAAGTTTGGGGTGTGCTTTATGTTGCTGTTTGGGATGAAGGGGGAGGAGTCCTTGGTGAGAATTAATTCACACTTCTGACAAGAAAATGAAGCCCATGGTAAAAGCAGCTCTGAATAGAAGCCCCCAGCCCTTGTCATGCTAGGTGCTGGCTATTCCAGATTCCTTGTTAGGGATGGGCTATCTCCCCCATCCCCCACCAAGTGGATACAGCAAATACAGAGCAGTTCTATTTTGGTGCAACTTTTCCCCTTCATTTTACGGGCCAGAAAATTGGAGGTGAGTAACTTAAGAGTCAGACCAAGGTCACTGAGTTAACTCAGTTCTCCTAACCCCCAGTGTCTAGATCACCAAGTATGAAGGAGGCACCACCACACCGGAGGATCCCAGCACTGGACAGCAAAGCTCTGCAATCAAGACCACTCCCCAGAAGAGCTGTTCCTACCAGGCAGGTGCCAGGACACATTCTGATCAGCATGAGTTGTAGAGGGCAGAGGCTGTCTTGCTCACTGATGCTTCCTTCTGTCTGGCATGGTGCTGACCTGACACCCAGGGGCCCCCATTCAGGTGTTAGGGAACTAAGAACATGAGGTAGCCCTGGGCCAGGCTCCTGCATCTTCAGCTGAGTTACCCAGTGACCTTAGGGCCCTTCCTCACCATCATTTCAAAAGAATGGACTTAATACAAAAAGGGGGAAATAGAATCTGGCCAAACCCAAATACATTTTTTTGAATATTCATATTTAAAAAGCCATCATCTATAAGCTTTTAGTGTTTAGATTATCTATGGCTTGGTTTCTATGAAAATAATCACAATTTGTATCCATTTGTGTGCCCAGGAACCTGTATTCTTGACAGACCTTCCCAGTGAGTCCTCACAAAGACTCAGCTGAAACGAGTCAGCTGAGGAGTATAGCAGGCAGCTGGTAAATGCCTGGAGGGCCACTCCCTGGGCACTATCCCTGCTGAAATGAGGGGTGGGGGACAGAAGCTGCCTGTGAGGCCAGAACTGGAGCTACTGGCTGCCTGGGTATTATATGGTTACTAGCAAAGGGATGTCTGGTAATGTCACCCCTCAGACACATCAGTAAGGGTGGTGATGGCCCGTGGCTGATGAGCATGTAACCCATTAAAGTGAACACGAGTAATGAACGGTGACCACCAAGAAAGGGCAAGGAGCATTCTGGGAATCGCGCCGAGGCCCCGCCTCCCATTGGATGTACAGCCGGGAAGGCGGACAAGAGCCAACTCCATACACTGCTTCTTGGGAAGGTCAGGCCAGGGTGGGGCAGAGGTTCTCTTTGGTCAGAGGTGGCGGCTGGGAAGCGGTCGTGTGGAATGTGTGTGGATATGTGTGCATGTGGCATGGAGGAGGAGGAATGGCCGTGGCGTGCCTGCAGCGCCCTTCCGCGACACTTTCTCCTGGTCAGCACTAGTTCTGCAGCAGGGCCTTTTCCAGGCCCCCTACCTTTCTAGGTCCCCTCACCGCCTGTCCCCAACACTGTGACACCTGACAGTGCGTGTGAGGCTGACAAGTACCTGCTCCCTGCACAGCCACCCACATAGGGTGGGCTGTCCAAAGCTTGACGCTCAAGGCACTGAAAGTGGAAGAAGGAATCGGATTGGTCCAAGAAAAGACAGACACTTAACAAACCACAACCTGTCTAAAGAGAACATTTCCCTGCCCCCTGGAAGCTGCCTCTAACCAGGTGATGGGTCCTCTGGCAGGGCAGCAGTCAGAGAGCAAGACCTTCTCCTGCCCCTGTCAGAGCAGCCACCTATGTGACAGGTCTCACCACCTGAATACATAAAAATGAATTCAAAGTGCTCAGACGCTGAAAGGGCAGTAGAGGGTGTTAAGAACCTAGTGGAAAAGAACAGGTGGTGCTCCCTTTCCCTTCCACTGGGACTTGTATTTCTTTTTCCCCAAATGAGGTTTTCATTGTTTTAGTTTTCTTTGAAAAAATAGCCTATAGCACCCCACCCCTCTCCAGAGTCAAAGCCAGGAAGTGGGGCCGACTGGGGAAGAGAGCAGGCTTGGGTGGCTCCCCCTAGCATCGGTTCTGGAAGCTACTATGCAACAGCAGTCTCTGGATCATCAGGACATGGTCCTGACCTTTCTTTCTCCACCAGGACCCAGAAGACTTTCTGGCTGGCCCAGCGTAGGAAGAGGAAGGAAGAAAGTGGGCAGTGGTGCTGGAGACTCCTGACTGTCCCTGCACACTGCTGGGCAGCCAGGGTGATTGGCATTTTGATCCCAGCTGAATGAGAGCTGGATTCGAACTCAGTGCCAGGGCTTTTCTGTAGATAAGAGCTAATATAAATCCAAGGTCCCTTCTGCAGTCCCCTGAGGGAGAGATGCACTGAGGGCATAAATGCACACAGCAGAGGGACTGGTTGGGCTATTCTGTTTTCCACCTGCTTATGCCAGAACCACCCACTCCTATGCTCCAAGTCCCCTGGGCCAAAGTCTGCCCATCCCATGTATTTATGGGGAGACCAGAGGGGTGTGATAGAAAGGGAATGCTAAAAAGTGCCCCCTCTGCTCTTCCCCACTTTCACGTTCCCTGTCCCCTTGCTGGGGTCAGGCAAGAGCAGGTCAGAAGACACACACCCTCCCGAAGAAGAGGGAAGGGCAGGCCCAGGAGGCTGGGGCGTGCACAGAGCACCATCCTCGGGACGGGGTGTTTCTGGGAGACCTGCTCCCCACCTGCTACGGCAGAGGAGGAAGGCTGGTCCAATAAGGGAGCAATGAGCAATGCCCCTGAATATCAGGGAACAGCTGTGACAGCCTTCTCCTCTGCCCCGCAGAGATGCCCCGCCAGGCTCTGGCCCCTACACGTGAGTCTGCATGCGCTGCTGGAACCGCTGGCCATAGTCCGAGTGCTGGGAGGTGTAGGAGAACCGAGTGGCCGTGGCATACTTGCCGATGGGATCATAAGCCTCGTATGGGGTCCGCTCCAGGCCAGAGGGTGGGGCTTGGGGGTAGCCCAGCCGGTAGGTGGGGTACCCCGCTGCCCCGGGAAAGGGGTGGGAGTTGAACTTCTCATAGTTCTCGTAGGACAGCTGGCTGGTGGTGTCAGTGCCAGCTGGGGCAGCAGGGCCAGGGGGTGTGGGCTCAGGGCCGTAGTCAGAGGTGGGGGCCCTGCTGTAGGTGTTGAGCTGGGCATAGCCGCTGGAGTGGGAGAGTCGGGAAGAGGGGCGGCCGTCGAAGCGGGTAGGGCCAGGGGCGCGGTAGTCAGCATAGAGCACGGCTCTGGAAGAGGGGCGGTCTTCATGGGCACGCACATTGTAGTAACCATTGGTGGGGTCCTGGGGCGACGAAAGAAGCAGATGGAGGAGGCACTCTCTCTTGGGCAGGGATCAAGTCTCATCACAGCCTTCCTGGCCTCCTCCTCTGGCTCTCCTGTGTTCCCACCTAGCACCACTGCACTTAGCTCCTTCCACACACCTGGCTGTGCTCCCCACACACCTGTCCTCACCTCCACCCATGGGCCCTCAGAGCCCTGGTCCCCACCAGCCCCCAGGCCCTGACTCCTTCCCTTTCTCACCTTCATCTCATACTCCTCTCGGGTGTCCATGGTGTCACAGCGCAGGTCCTGCTTCAGATCCACGTCATCCTTAAAGGACTGCAGGGCAGCAGGAGTGGTGATCAGGAGATGGGGCAGCTGCTCACCCCACCCACCCACCCACACGCAGAGGCCACCTGCTCATGGGAGGAGCCGTGAGTCAAGGGCAGACCAGAGTTCTGTGTCCCCTCCCAGAACGGTCTCTGGGATGTGGTGGGAAGGTACCAGACCTGGTTTGAGCACTAGTTCTATGGCTAACATGGAACGTGGCCTCGGGCAACTGTTTCTTTATCCTAGCAATAAGGTTGGTTGGACCAGAAAATTCCTAAGCATTTCCCACTCTCACACTCTGTGGGGAAAAAATGGGGCAAAGGATGGCCATGGAGAATCCCCACTGCCCCCACCTTCCCTGTCCTTTGCTGGAGGGAAATTACCCTGGGAGAGTGTGTATAGCAGGATCTGTGTGGGCCAGCCAACCAAGGGAAGAAAGAGTGACAACAGTCGTTAAGGACCTGGAGTGATGCCGGTCCTAGGTGTGTGAAGGGGCAGGACCCTCACCGAGTAGATGGCCTTCATGACCCGGGTGGCTGTGGACACACTGGTGGTATCATCTTCCCGGTCAGAATGCATTGTGAGTGGCTCTCGGTTGACTGTCTCCACTTTGATGTCCAGCTTCCTCAAGGTTACATCTTTGCGACCTGGGACAAAGGGAGGTAGCCTAGACCTGGTGCTTTCTTCTGGTTTCTGCAGTGGCTACACCTGGTCCCTCTGAACTGGGAGCCCAAGTACCCACCCTGCCATCCATCCCAGGCGCTGCCTATTCTCAGGGGGAGGGCTGTCCCTCGTGGGGCCCACACTCACTGCCTTTGCGGCGCCGGTAGAGGAAGAACACCAGGGCGATGAAGAAGAAGATGAGCAGGATGCTCGCACCGATGGTGGCCCCAGCGATGACGCCCACAGGTAACACCTCTTCGAATTGGGGAAGAAAAGGAGCAGGGTGAGGATGGAGCCCAGCGGGGAGCTGCAGGCTGGGCCACAGCTATGGTGGCAGCCCTGGATGGTGTGCAGGGTTTAGTGTCCACTGAGCCTGTGGCTGGGCAGGGTTTAAGTCAAGGGTATTTGAGAAAGGTCTGAACTGCAGTTGGGTTTAGGTCTCTGCTTCAAATTGGTCAGGGTTGAGGGCATGATCTAGTTTCATCCTTGGAGCTGGGGTGTCAACTTGACCGTGGCCAGTCTGTCTACCCTTTTCCTTTAGCCCACCTGCTCTGAGGCTTAGTCCCTCCTTCCAGGGCTGGGCTCTTATTTGATGTCAGCTGTCCCCTAACTCCAATCTGCCATCTGTGTTCCCCACCTCGTTCACCACTTTTCCAGTCTAGACCTTTGTGACCATCCCATCTGCACCTGCCCACCCAGGGCTCAAACTGTCTTGCTGGGTCCCCATCTGCTTCCCAGAGCTGAGGACTCCTCCCCACCTCTTACTTGCAGTCCCAGTTGAATCCAGATCCTGCTGACAAGTCTCCCCTCTGAGGACCTCCCCCATGGACCCCACATTACTTTTTACCTTCTGCTCCCCCATCCATTTCTGGCTTCCTCAGCTAGGACAGAACTGGTGGGATCCCATCATTTTCCATGGGGTTTCCCATCTCCTGTATTAAATAGCTAGTTCTTAAAAAATGAGACAAAACTGCTACTGTTCCTTCATCAGACATGAGAGTCTCCAAAAGCCAGCGGTCTCATCATCCTAGAGGAGCCTTAAGATAGGGAACATGTCTCTCCCATCTAAGAATGCTTGAGAGGTGCGGGAAGCCAAAAGTTACTGAGCACTTACTATATGCCAGGCATTGTATAAATATCCTCTCATTTAGTCCCCACAACCACCTAGTGAGAGAGGAGAAAGGGAGTGTTGCTTCCTCCTATACTTCATTTGATTTTCCCCATCTGAATTCATTGTCCCCTCTCTGTAAGTTTCTCCACTAAAATGAAAGTGTCTTGAGAGGGCAAGAACTGTGTCCTTTCATCGCTATTCTTCTAGCCCCAAGGGCAGAACCAGGCACATAGCAGGTGCTCTGTAAATGTGAGTGAAGTGAGCAAATGTCCCTAGCTGAGTACTGAGGCCAGGTTCTGGAGGGGAGGCCCACTAGTTCTCTCCCTCTGAGCATTCCCAGGAGAAAGGGGGAGCAGTCCCCCCAGCCTGCCCTGCCCTCCACATGGCAGCCAGCATTGCCAGTTACCTCTCTCTTCCAGCTGGATGATGGCTGTGCCCGGTCCAAAGCTGTTCCAGGCAGTACAATTGTAGTGTGTCTGAAAGTCGGCCTCCATGACGTTGTTGATGGTGAGTGTGGACAGCACCCCGCTGCCCGAGTTGGTCCTCTCCACTGTATAGCGCTCCAGGGTACCTACCTCCAGGAAGTTCTCCTTCCATGCCCAGGCCTGGGGTGGGAAGGGTAGGAAGGAGGTAAGTAAGGGGCAGGGGGCAGAAGCACACACTCGGTGTCACCTGAATCACCTGCAGGATGTGTGTGTCCAGCTCAGCCTAATACTCACCCCAGGCCTGAAATAAACCTGAGTCACACCTGTGGCCTCAAACCCACAGCCTCGCGTTTCCATTTGTGGAGCAGCAGTGGCTCCCCCCATGGCTGATACCAGATTTAGCTGAGGAGAAGCTTTAAAATGTAGATTCTTGGGGCTTGTGTCTTAAATATGGATCTCCAGGGGAAAGCTTTACTTTCACAATGATCCCATGTGCTGAGGATGCATCTAATGCAATGGACCAACATTGGGAGCCCCAGCTGTGGGAAAAGCTCTGGATTGGGATTCAGGAACACCAGGCCCCTGTGTGCCCTCCCTGTCCCTCTCTAGGCCTCATCATTGTCTAGGTCTAGCAATAGACAACACTTCCAGCTTTGACAGTCTGTGATTCTAACTAAGCATAGCTCAATCTTCAAGCTAACCATTAGCCATCCCACACGAACCTGCCTGGCTGTCTTTGGAGACCCATCCACAGATACTCAGCAGAGCAGGGACAGAGAGAGGCAACCCCAGACTCATCTGTCCCTGACACCTCAGCCAGGGCATCCCTTCCCTCAGAGTGGAGCCCAAGGTGGGGGGCAGCTGAGAACTGGCTCCTTTCCAAGCTCCGCAAAGAAAGCCCCCCGGGAGCCGAGCCGCCCCGGCGACCGTGGTAATGAAGTGTCCCTGGGCAGCCCTGAAGTTAGCCAAATGGTCATTAAATGTGATGAGGGGTTTGACGGTTAATGGTCACGGAAGGAATTAATGGCTCTTGGTGTGGGGGAGGAGGAGAAGGGAGGGAGGAGAGTGGTGAGGAGCTGGTAGGAGAAGGCAGGAGAAGAGAGCAAGGAGTGGGGCTGAGGACTGAGGAGGAAGGGGACAGAGAGGAGGGAAGGAGGATGGGAGGGGAGAGAGTGTCAGCCTGGAGAAGTCGAGACTGAGCCGCCCCCCACTGCTTCTCCTAGCCACCCCTCCACCCCATGGAAGCCATGGCCTCTGCTGGACACAGCCCAAATACACTAAGTCACGGGCTCAGGCCACACAAGTAAGTGACAGTGAGACAGAAAGGCAGAATATTAGGACAGAAAAGGGTGAGACTGAGGGAGTAAAACCAGGGAGGTGAAGGGGTGGGCATGAGCAGAGAGGCAGGGTGGGCTGGCAGTCCCCAGGAGCCCCCACTCACTATGCGGTCTGGGGGCGGTGTGCTCCCAATGAAACACTCCACCTTGCCTCCGTCACCCCGGACAGCATATTGCACTGCCTCGCTGGAGATAATGGGGGGCCCTGCAAGCAAGAAGACACAGTCAGGGCCGAAGAGGACCCACAGCACCTGCCCACCCCTGCCCCAGCCACCCCTCAGGCCACTCACCATTCACATAAAGTGGCACCTCTCGCTCAGCCACTCCGATTCGAGGCACGATGGCCCGGCAGATGTAGGTGCCGGCATCTGCCTGAGTCACTGACTTCAGCAGCAGCTGGTTACTGTTACTCAGGACCTGGGCAGAGAGAGCAGCCTCGGGTGGGGAGCCAGGAGGCCTGGACCCCTAGGTCCATGAGGGCCCCCGCATTGCAGGCATTGGAAAGAAAGCAGGAAGGGCCACAAGTGAATTCCCAGAAGGGACATGGGCTCCCGAGTCCATTTGGTCCACGCCCTGACCCTAAACAGGTTGGCACATAAGCACACCATCTGTGCAATGGTGGACAGGGATGTGGTGGTGGCCAGAGAGGGCAGGTGCAGGCTGCAGTCATTTTAAGAGGATGCAGCTTCTTCTGTTCCAGTATTTTTATTGCCAAAGGAGGTAAGACATTTTCCTCTGAAATTCCTCTTCCCACATTGGCCCAAACTCTCTAGCAAGTCCCTGTAGAATGCTCCCAAGCTTCTCCAACACCCCATGCAGCATCACTTACCAGCCCTCTGCCTCTGCCTACCTCCCCCTACCTCCCTCTACCCTGTTCCCTCTGCCTCTGCCCACCTCCCACCACCCTGCTCCCTCTGCCTCCAAACTGGCCCACTGCCCTTCTCCTCCAAATCAAGACTCTAGAAATATCCCAGGTTCAATTTGAAAAACTGGAAAATTTCCTTTCTACACCCTTCCCTCCCAGCAGTCAGCACAGGCACCAGGGATCTTACCATGTTTGAGTCCTTTTTGGTCCAGGTGAGGGTGAGAGGGGGATTCCCAACCCAAACACAAGTGAGGGTCACATCAGAGCCAATGTCTGTGGTTGTGGGTTTGGGGTCAACCACGATCCGGGGGGCAACTGAGGCAGAAAGAAGCCACTCATGAGGGCCTCAAGCTCATCGGGGGGTCACCTCCCGTCCTAACCTGCTGCCTCCCACCTGAGGAGCCCCACCAGCTTCTGCGGCCAGCCCCTGTCCCTGCCTTCCTGTTACTCACAGTGGACGTTTACTAGGGTGCTGACGTTGGTGCTCCCCACTTTGTTGTGAACTTCACAAGATACAGGCTCCGTGAAGAAGGAATAATCGACGTTTGTCTCATAGCGACTCTCATGGGCATCTTCAATCAAGAACCCCCCCTTGGCCCACCTGGGGAAGGAGGAATCAGAGAGGGGGTCAGAGCTTGAACCCTCCCAACTAAGTCCAGTGGCATTGGTCCCAGCACCCACCAGCTGAAAGGGCCTGTCCAGAACACCCCCCCCCCAGTGCCCCTGGCCCCTGACCCTGCACCTGTAGCCCAGGATCTCGGGGTTGGCCGTGGCCTGGCATGTGAAGACGACACGCTCACCCTCCTGCACCGTCTGTGGCTCAATGGACAGGGTCACTGTGGGAGGGTCTGCAAAGCAAGAGACAGGGAATCCGGTCTTTTCTGAGTTTCCAAGCACATAAACTCAGACCTCACCACTCAGGGAGGACCTGGGAATTTTAGTTTGCAGTGTATCAGCTCTGAAAGATAAGCCATCTTCCTCCCCTTTTCCACAAGGAGCCTCTAGGGCACTGGCTAAGGTGACCAACAAGGATGGTACTGAAGGACAAATTATCCACGGGACTAATGACCTACAGTGGCCACTAGGTGTCAGTGTGGGGTTGCCTGGCTCTTACAAGAATGGGGAGGGGTGCCCCAATGACTGCCACACACCACAGTTCCCTGGGCAGCGGGAATTGATTGCACACCTGCCAGGTAAGCACACTCCATGCTAGACACTCTCCCACTGTATCTCCTTTAGTGCTCACAACCCCGAGAAGAAGGTACAGGACCACAATCCCTTATCTGACACCCAGGGGACTCAAGGCATTTGAGGATTTGGAACTGTTCATATTTTAGAAAAGTAACACTGTGCGCAGACCATGCAGTGTGACACTGCAGCAGCAATGCCCACAGTCACAAATGTTAAGTTCTGCAGTGAAATATGGAACAATTAGGTTTAATAAAGGGCTATCAAGAGCCTGTGGAGGCTCAGTGCCTGTAGCTCAAGCGGCTAAGGCGCCAGCCACATACACCTAAGGTGGCGGGTTCAAATCCATACCAGGCCTGCCAAACAGTGACGGCTGCAACCAAAAAACAGCTGGGCGTTGTGGCAGGCACCTGTGGTCCCAGCTACTTGGGAGGCTGAGGCAGTAGACTCGCTTGAGCCCAGGAGTTGGAGGTTGCTATGAGCTGTGATGCCACAGCACTCTACCCAGGGGGAAAGCTTGAGGCTCTGTCTCAAAAAAAAAAAAACAGAGCCTGTAGAAAGGGAATATAGGCCCAGGTTTTACCCTCTGCGAGTACGGGAATTGGGAACTGAGGCTCACGGACATTAATCATTGCCCCAAATCACATGGTTTACTCCAGGACCACTGGACTTCACAGCCAATGCGTCTTTCACCAGCCTTTGGTGTCCATGGTTCAAAACCAGGGAGTCTGAGAGGAAGTGAGCATCTGTCCTGGGGCCTTGGAGAATGGTCACTCTGTGCTTCTCAAAAGTTATCTGCAGTCCCCCTCCCTGCCCCCACTCACGGTGCACGTCAAGCTCGATGGACGTCTCCTTGCCAGTCGGGATGGCCTCGTTCATGCTGCGGCAGGTGAAGACACGCCCGATGTCCAGGTCCGTGGGGTTGATGAGCAGCTGGCTCACGGTGGTCTCCCTCTTCCCATCTTTCAGCAACTCCTGAACCAGGGTGGGAGGCATGATCAGCCCAGAAGCCACTCCTCTGCCCCAACTCAGAGATGGACTTGGGCTGGAGGGGTACTTTAACCCAAAGCTCGGCTCCTTCTCCTCCTCCCAATATCTTCTCCATGCCTTTTTTTTTTTTTTAACAGTAACAGATTATTTTTTATATTTATTCATTCTAGAGAAAGGGTCTTCCTATGTTGCTCAGGCTGGCCTCCAACTCCTGGGCTCAAGCAATCCTCTCACCTCGGCCTCCCGAGTAGCTGGAACTACAGGTACGTACCACTATGCCCAGCTTACAGACTATTTTTTAGAGCCGTTTGAAGTTTACAGAAAAAATGAGCAGAGAGTACAGAGTTCCCAACTATGCTCTGCTCCCACCTCACAGTTTCCCCCATTATTAGCATCTTACATAACTGTGACAAATCCCTTACAACTGAGGGACGGATATTGGTAAAGTATTACTAAGTGAAGCCCATCATCTCCATTAGAGATGATAATGGCTCCCTTTGTGAGCCCAGCACAAGTCCCTTCCCTTCTGGGAGATCTTCCTCAGTCTGCACAGCCTCAAGACTCCCTCTGGTCTAAATTTGTGCCCCTTACAGCCATCTGTCCTGCACATGGCTCCGGGCACACCCAGCCTCGCTCCCAGGCACTGTGGTGTGAGTGGTCCAGCGCTGGGGCTCCTGCTAAACCATAAACTCCTTGAGGGTAAAGAAGGGACTCACAGCTCAGCTTCACACTGGCTCAATGACACCCAAACTGAGGTCGCCAAATATAGTCACAGGATCTCTCAAGGTGTTTTCCATGTTGCAAACTACCTAAGAGATGCTGTATTATTAACCAAGACCCTGCTTTTTGACAGCCACACACACATCTTTGGATGTGTGACAGAACAGACAAGCACCAGGCCAGGGCAGGGACACCAGCTTCTTTCTGCTCTTCTGTGTTTCATCATCTTCAATGAACATGAGAAAAGGGGTGGGTGGCAAAAGGCCACTAAGAAATCAACCTGTTTAGTTACCAAAATATTTCAAAATATGTAGCCATACTGGGGAAAAAACAACAGAGGTCAGCACCACTGACAACAAATTATCATTTGTTGAACGGTATAACTAAGGGCAGAGAAAAGTGAACTGTCCAAGGTCACAAGCATATTAAAGGCAGAGCTAAAATAAAACCAGAGTTCAGGTAACCCCCCCGGCGTTGCAGCAAGGAACACAGGTGAACCCTTCTGTCCATGCTTCGGATGTCCCTGGAACACCTACCAGGGGGCTGGGTACACATGTGTGTGCTCAGAGCTGGGAGAAAAAAAACCCAAACAGGCAATCTGGATTTTCATTTCAGCTCTGCTGTCCACTCTGTCATGGGACCCTAGGCAAGTCACAAATGCCTTTCTCTGCCATGACTCCCTCATCTGTAAAGTTAGTACAGATGCCGTTTCCCGTGTCTTCATTGTGACAATTGGGCTAATATGCTGACTAGATGCTAAACAGGAGGGGATATAAGAGCAGATCAATGCAGAGCAAACACAGTCAGATCCAGGTACAAATCCCAGTACTGCAGCTTGCCAGCTGTGTAACCCTGGGCAAGTCACTCAACCTCTCCAGTTTCCTCTTTCGTGAACAGGAAGTTAACACCTCCTTCATGTAACTGGCATGGGAATTCAGACTGCCCATAAAGTGCTCAGGGCCGGGTGCAGGGTCTCATGCCTATAATCATAGCACTCTAGGCAGCCGAGGAGGGTAGACTAATTTAGCTCACAAGTTTGCGGCCAGCCTGAGTAAGAGTGAGACTCTGTTTCTACTAAAAATGAAAAACTGAGGTAAGAGGCCTGGCATATAACTGGAACTGCTTAACCCATAGCAGTTACTATTATTCTCAGTCTCTGCTCAGCTACTGAATGGCACCATGGACCTGGGAATTCACTTCTCTGGGTCTCAATTTTCCCAACTGTATGAGTGGGTTGGACTGTATGGTCTCGAAGGCTGCTTCTGTGTCCCCAAGTCTGCAGTCAAACCCCCGTGAGAGAGGAGAGGTAAGCTGAAGGCCAGGCCCAGATGGAGCCCAGGGACCAGCCAGGGCTCACCGTGGTAGCCACAGCTCCCTCCTGCTGCGTCCCATCGCGGAACCAGATGATGGTAGCTGCAGGCTTAGCGTTGAAGGCTCGGCATGTGAGGTTGTGAGGGGTGCCTGCCTGCAGCAGGATCACAGGGCCTCCATCAATCCTGGTGTCCTCTGGGGGGACTGTGGGAGAGAGCAGAGCAAGATCAGCCTTGATGACCAGCCCCCGCCCTTGGATGCCCACCTTTTGGCAGGTGGCACTACCCTGGCCCCTAACTCACAATTTGTCTCCTTTGTTCCTGTGGTGGCTTTGCCCTGTGTTCTTAGCTTGAGAGCTTCCCCAGGCCCTGTCAGCTCTCTTAACCTTGTACTGCCCCTGGTGTTGCTTAAGCTGCAGAGAACAGACGGTGTGGGTGGAGGAGAACACAGCTCAGGAAAGGGCTGCACTATCATGGGGCCTGAGTACAGCTCATACCGTCCAGGACCTGGCCCCCAGCTAGGAAATCTAGCCCCCTCCACGGAGCTTCCTACAGAGGCCCTTCCAGCCTGCTCCTCTGCCTGCGGGAACCAGATGAGCAAGCCTATGACAACAGCCTCTATGTCACACAGCTGGCAGGTCATTTTTCCAAGAGTACCACTAAGACTGTGCCACTGTCCTGCTCAGGCACCTTCAATGGCTACAACTGCCTAGGGCATGAGTTCCAGGCACCTCTGCCTCCTGTCCAGGGGTCCTTAAGCCAAGGCCTTTAAATTTCTCACTTCTTTGTCTGCTTCTGCTGTATGTTCCACGTGGCACGTCCTTCCTATACAGCTTCTGCCGAACTGCTACCCATCCTGTTCAGACCCCGGCTGACACACAAGACTTTCCCTGCCATTTCCCCAGCCCCCAGGGTGGTCCTTGGATTTGAGTTACCTGTAACAATTAATCTATTCCCACCCCAACCAAAACTGCTACCCCTGGAAAAACAAGGACCCTGTCTCACTAATATTTACATGATCACCAGTGCCTAGAATGCAACCAAGTAGGCTCCTATTAAGTGCTTAAGGAACTGAATCGATCAGATGTCTGATGCTAGCAGGTAGGATGGCCTCTCCCTGCCCTATCTCCGTGGGCTTTCCAATAATATGGTGAACCAGACCCTAAGTCCCCTGAGGGCAGAGGCTGCGGCTTACTTATGCTTAAACCCTCTATGTCAAACCCAGAGCTTGGGTGGTCACGGATGCTTAGAGATATTTGCTGGGTTAATGAAGGAATGACTGATGAAATAAAGGCAGAAGCACTTAGATTATAATCTTTCTGGTCCACCCAGTATTCAACCAGAACCCAGAAGGGATTTTTCCTGCCTCTTTCTGGGAAAGACAAGAAAGGCTTGGAGGGAGCTTTCCAGAGGAAATTCTGGAGGGCAGACGGACCCTGGGAGGCCCATGGAGCTCAGTGGTGAGCAGGGCTGTCCTCGAGTCTATGAAATGAAGGGCTCCGTGCTAGAGTTTCCAGCAGATAGAACTGCTTGCAGCCTGTCCTAGTGTTCTGTTCAGCTCATGCATGTCAAGTAACATAGTGGGAAAAGAAAAACCTAGACTCGGGCTGCCCGGCTGCAAACCAGGCCATCTTGTGACCTGTTGTGTGATATTGGGTGAGTCCCTGAAGTCACTGAATCTTAGTCTCTTCATCAGAGACAGGATACCTTGTGAAGGTCAAACATGACACTGTGTGTAAACTGTCACAGGCAAGGCAGCTGTGACGTAGATTGTGTTAGCTTTGCTGCTGGGGTAAGGACCAGCAGTGGCTCTGACTCCTACCTGGCTACTCACCCCCTACACCCCCAGTTCTTCCTCTTTCATCCCTGGGGCATTTGCTTCCAGTGCCAAATGGGTGTGGTTTGGAGAAGGGGGTGGGAAGCAGCTTCAGAAGTAGAAAAAGGTGGAGAGAGATGGATAAAGAGCCACCATTCAGGGCCCCTGGTCTGGCTGGGGCCCTCTGAGGTCACACCGGGAGGGAGGTCCTGGGTGAGCACAGCCCTGCAGAGAAGCCATGCCAGATGTGTGCCCAGACGTAGAGTCCCTGAAGGCAAGGCATCCTCTCCCCTGCCCTTGTAGTGTCCCCTTTCCCCTTGTTCAGGCAAAGACCATCCGTCACTTCTGTTCAGCTCACCTTTCTCTACAGTTTTCCAAACTCTCTGCCCATCCTCCTTGAGCCCATCCCTGTCCTCTATCTAGGGCAAAGCTGTCGAGGTATCTGCTCAGCCAGCTGTTGGAGGGCAGGAGTCCAGATGTGCTTGTGTTTGTGAACAAAAGCTAAAGATCTGTGCCTTAAACTTCCACATCAATATGTCCATGTGCCCTTCGCCTCAGTTTCCTTGTTTTTAAAATTTCAAAAATAACATTGACTCTTCCTCCTTAGGGTTGTTATTGTAAAGTGAAACAAGAACCAAGAATGTGAAGCCAACTGAGAAGTATAAAGTGATGAACAATGACATTTCTATCATCACTGGACATTCGCCTTATATTGGCCAAAGTGCCCCACAAATGTGCTTTCATCTAACCCTCACCACGAACTATCTTCATTAACCCTTTCATGGTAAATACATTAACCCCTGTTTACAGATGAGGAGCTGGGGCTCAGGCAGGCAGAGCAAATGTGCTCCGAGGCAGAAGGGTAAGCTAAAGGGCAGAGCTGGGGTGTGAGGTAGGGCCCAGGCCCACTTGGCCCGGAGCCACGTTCCTCTCCACGGCCCTCCAGCTATTTACCACTGGGGATGTTAGGGCGTACCCCATCTGCAGACCTGTATTACGTCTGTGTGGGGGGTACAGGGGCATCCTCCCAAAGCCTTACCGTAGGGAAAAATGGGAGAGGACATTCTGTAAAGAAGGCTGGGGCACCAGGAAGGAGAGAGTCTTTGTGGCCAGCAGTGTGCAAGGGGGCTGGTACCAGCCACTGGACACGGCTCACTTCTCATTTCTACCCAGCCTGGCCTCTGGACCCTGCTGCCATAAGCAAAGCCCACAGGCAAGCAGGCAAGCAGCAGGGAATATAGAGAATGTCCCACCTTTGCGCTGCCTCAAGTGGCAGGGTGTTTAAGAGTCCAAGGGAGAGACAAGGAGGGAAGAGAGCAAGAAGCCACAGCAATTACTAACAGGCCACCCTCCTTCTGGGCTCTGTCATTCCTCTCGGCTCCTTCCTGTCCCTCTCCTTCCTTTCAGCCCCAAGGCAGGCTAGTGGGGTCCACCCCTCCCCACCCACCATGCCCTCAAACAAGGCAGTCACCCTGCTTCTGAGGCTCTCCTTCGCTGACCTGCAGTCTTTCTAATGAAGCACTCCCCATCTAGAGTTCCCACCATATATCCCCCTCTTCCAGGAAGCCTTCCTGGATAGACCAAGCCACTGCCTGCCATTAGAAGCCCATGTTCTGGCAGTGCCTCAGGACTCAGTTGGCTTTTCTTCATTTTTCTCCACCTCTGTCTCTGCCCCAGGGAGGAGAGAAAAAAGGAGTATCAGGGACCCCTGTTAGGATGACTGTTCTCCAGGGCAGATGCAGCACCTTCCGGGTCCAAAATAGAGGCAGTTAGGGAGGAAGATGAGGGAGAAGGTTTCCTAAGCATGTTGTGGTCCCCAGGGAGTGCCTGGTCCAGCATGGGCTGACACATGCCCTCAAGGGATGGAAGGCCGTGTACTGGCACCCATGTCACCCTCTGACAATTGGTCTCTAACTTCAGCCCACTCCTTGCTAATCCCCCCTATTTTAAGTCCTAGAGAGGAAACGTCAGCCATCCACCCGCCTGAATCCCAATCCCCTAGGGCCTTTCAGCTGAAGAAGTGGGCCACTGGGTCCCTCCGGCCCTCTCTTGTTCTGACGCCTCACATTTGCCCAGACGTCACAGTTTACAAGTCCCCATGCAGCAAAGCGGCAGTTGCTAAGAAAAGGCTGGTGTCATTTCACTGTGTTACCAATGGGAAAACCCATGCCATAAGGATGCCACCTCCTCATAGTCATGGTGCCAAAAAGAACAAGGGTCTCCTGAGCTCAGCAGTCCAGAACTCTTCTAGCTATGCTAGGATGGCCTGTCACATTCTCCCCTCACTGCCCCACAGAACACAACCTCCTTGTGCCCAGGCTCACTCAGCTCAGCTCCTCTCTCCTTCCTCCCATCCATCCCAGGGTCTCCCCCCAACTCTGGTGATTTTAAGTTAGGGGAAGAAAAGAGAGAGGGAATAGAGGTAGCATAAAAGACAGGGGGTAGAGTCAGTGACAGAAGGCAGAGGCACAGGGAGGCCTGAGAGTGGGGAGGGACAGCAGACGATGGGTGATGGAGTCTGCGGCCTGTGGGGGTGAGGCCCGAGGAGAGGCGGCGGGGGCTGGGTGGGCAGGGTGGGCAAGGGGCCTGCAGGCACTGGCCTCATTCTGGCACAGTGTGGGAGATAGTCCCTTCATTATGCAAATGGCCTCAGGGGTTACCATAGAGGGACATCTGCTCAGTCCCCCTGTGAGCGGGTGGCTGCCAGGCGCGTGGCTTCTGAGAGCCAACCCTCCTACAGTGCCACCCGGACACAGCCCCCACCTCAGTCCCAAGCCCATCCATTCCAGCCCTATTCCTGGCTCCCTGGGGAGGCCCCTGTTGAATCTGAGAGGAGGGTGAGGCCCAGGAAGGAAAGGAAGTGTCTGCGGGGGAGAGGGTGGAGAAGCAGCGGGGCCCTGCCAGGCTCCGAGGCAGCAGAGGGAGCAGAAGAAAGAAAGGAGAGGCTCCCTCACCACCAGCCTGTCAGCTAGGACAGCCAGGGCAGGTTTCCGTCACCCCACACTTCCCTGCCTCGCAGCTTTGTGTCCAGAAACTAAAAGCCCTGTCCTTGAGAGGCCTGGGCACAGGCTGGAGCAGCAAGGATGCCAGGCCTCTCACAGCCTGCACATCCCACCAGCTGTGGCCGCATCCCTGCTATATATCTATTTATTTATTTAGAGACTAAGTCTCATCTCACTCCGTCATCCTATCTATCTATGTATCTATCTATCTATCTATAGACCCCTATTCTGTCACTAATGCTAGAGTGCCATGGCATTAGCCTAGCTCACAGCAACCTCAAAGTCCTGGGCTCAAGCAATCCTCCTGCCTCAGCCTTCCAAGTAGCTGGGACTACAGACGACCACCATTAACACCTGGCTATTTTTTTTTAAAAGACCATGTCTTGTTCTTGCTCAGGCTGGTCTTGAACTCCTGGGCCCAAGATATCCACCTGCCTCAGCCACCCAGAGTGCTGGAATTATAGGCATGAGCCACTGGGCCCCACCTCCCTGTGTTGTTCTATTCTCCCTGGACTTAGCTTTGGGAGAAGTTTAAAGGAGCTAAGAGGGAAAACCAGGCAGACAGTGGGACAGCAGGGTGGAGATGAGGCCAGCAACAGAGAGAAGGAGCTGTGACACTGAAGAGGGAACTGGAGTTAGGCCTCAGCACCAAGGGGTACTAGGTCATTACTTAGCACGGTGAGCTTGGCCCTCCGGGAGCGCAGGGCGGCCTCTGTGGCCTGGCACTCATAGGAGGCGTCATCAGAGAGCTCGGCATCTGTGATCTCCAAGTTGTACTGCCCGGCGTCTGCGGAGCCCACGACCCGGTACCGAGGCCAGGCTGCAGAAACAGAAAAGGTAAGGCACAGTCTTGGAACTGGGGCACTCCTCTGCCCACCCTTCATCCCCTGCCAGGGGCCACACAGACCCCCAGCCCTGTCCTGGGATACCACTGGCAGGTGAGAGGGTGAGATCCCCAACATAGATGCCTGCTGTCACAACCCCTCCCTGCCCCCCGCCCCAGGGTGAGGCTGGGAGCACAGAGCTGGAGCCGTGGACAGGAGGGACTGGAGGCACGGAGGGAGTAGGAGCAGGTGAAATCTCTGAAGCTGTTTGCAGACACATGTCTCTCATAATAATAGGAAAGAAAACGGAGGGGAAAAAGGAGAAGGGGAGAGAGGGAGAGCACGTGGGTGCCAGGAGATACAGGGCATGGCATCACAGGTGCATAGGGGCACCTCTGTAGGACTCGCAGGTAGAGGGGAGCCCTAGGTAGGCCAAGCCCCTCCACTATAGGAGGCGAAGAGGCAGGGTCCCACCAGCTGCCTGGGAAGTCCTGGTTTCCTGTGAAGCCAGTGGCAAAGGCAGGTGGGATCTGAGCTTCTGGCCCTCTCCAATTCAGCCTCCTTGCCCTCCTTCCCTCAGGCTACCACCCACTGCTCCCTGACCTCCCCTCTCCCATTCCCCAGCTTCGGCTGCCTCCCATTATCTCCCTCTGTCCAGAGGCTATTGATTCTTCTCGCTCCATATCTATCTATTGATCGCTTGCGCTCTCTCTCTCTCTCCCTGTTTCTTTCTTTCTATCATCAATGGATCCACCAGACCCATCTCTTTCCCTTATATATTGCTCTGCACAGACACATCTCCCCACCTGTGCTGACACAGGGACCCATAGCAAATCATCTCAACCCTCTTGACAATAATGAGAATAAGAAAATACAGCCCCTCCCGTACTCACCTGGTTACAGTGTGTTTTCACAAAGCACATTCTCACATTTGGTTCAAAACTCACAAGTGCATGTTCAAGGCAGGCAGGCCTGCACCTGCTGTGCCTGTCTCGCCCATCAGTAAACTGAGGCCCAGAGAGGGAAAGCGGCCTTCCTAAGGTAACCCAGCTGGCAGGTGGTAGAGGCAGGACTAGAGCCCAGACGTCCCAACTTCTCACCCACCCACCTGGTGGTCTCTCCAAAGATTTCTTTACTTGCTTTAGCATATAGGAGGCTGGCTTTTTGCTTTTGACTGAGGCATTACCTTTGCATCAGTCCCAGCTACATAGCCAGTGCTGCTTAAAGGCTTGTTGAATGAATAAATAAATGAATGCTCGGGCTGATATTAAAATGAGTTTCTGGTTTCTGAGCAGACATCACTGTGCAGGGGGGAGGAGAGAGGCTGGAGCAGAGCCAGCTGGGCATGAGACACTTGCAGGACACAAAATGGGCTGTGTTTTCTGTTCCTCAGGCCTCACCCTCAGGGTGTCTTGTCATCTGTCTCACTGAACTCTCTATGACAAGGTCTCCTGGTTTCCCTTAACCTCTCTGGCTTCTCACTGCCTTTCTTGAGCAAGTACATAGTGGGAGAAGACAGAGCTGTGGGTGGGAAGGTGGTGAAGACAGAGCTGGGTGGGTGACAGTTGGGATACCGGGTGGCTGGGGCCTACGCTCACCTTTGAGGCCCTGGCCCATGCCCAGAGCCAGTCCGTCCTTGGTCCATTGCACAATCCCAGAGTAGTTGAGCAGCACACAGGGGAGCACGGCCCGCTGTCCGGCCACCACAGTCTGGTCAGCTGGCTCCTGGCTGAAACGGGTCTGAGTCCCTGCAGGGCCAAAGCCAGCACTGGGTAAGGAGGAGCGGGGCAAGGGGCTCTTCCAAGCAGCCACCCACCCCACATATACCTCACAGGAGGTGGGAGGGAGAGAACCTCAGGCTGGAGAGGGGACTGTTGGGTGTCTGCTCCACTTCAGTCTCGGTCCCTCCTCTCCAAGAGGTCACATGCTCGCCTTTTATTCCCTTCCCCACCCACAGCCCACTGGAATGGATTTCAGGAGCCGACGTGCTTAGCAGTCATAGGAGTGATGCCGTATCATGTAAAGGTCTCAGGGAAGGGTCTAGTCCCACCCTCTCATTTCCCAGAGGAAGACCAGGGAGAAGAGTAACTTACCAAGGGCACCCAGTGAGTTAATGGCAGAACTGAGGTAACAGCCCAAGCCCATGTACCCCATGCCTGTTGCCTCACCCCCATACTCAGTTTTAGGGGTGGTGCATTCATAACAGTGACCACTAGTCATGAGCCAGTCCCGTCAATTCTTGGGACTCAGACTCACCCACCATAACCTCTAGCTGGACCTGTGTCACCTGAGCTGATAGGAACCAAAGTGGACTACCACACATGTGCAACTGTGCCAGGTACCCCTGTGAATAAATCCACAGAGTGCACAGATTTGTGTGGCAGGCATGTCCATGTGCCCACACGTGTACAGAAACCTCTCGGGTGAAAGTATCCAAAGACCAAGTAGCAGTTGCGACAGCTCTGAATTACGCTTTTAGGCACACGCGCCCTGCTCTGTGGGTATCCCGTGCTCCCAAGTGCTGTGGGCATGAGTGTGTGCACACCAACACACCTGCACACACCCAGCCTCCCACACCGGCATTGTGGGCGCTCAGAGGCCATGTGACGCTGCTCCACTGTCCCTCCGGCTGCAGGAGCTACACGCACTGCCCGGCTGGCAGCTCGGCCGGGAGCATTTGATTAGAGAACTGCAGAGTAATTGCCTTTAATTGTGGAGCCTAAATGGAGCAGGGAATTGCACTGCAGTTTCTTCTCCCCCACAACTCCCCCCACCCGCTCCAGCCAGCACGGGTCGGCCCCAGGGGTGGCAGTCCTGGCCTCCTGCAGAGCTACCCAGACTGTGGGCTCAGCTCCCTTTGCCAGGCAAAGGAGAGAAGGGCAACTGAGAGGCTGGAGGGCAGCAGAGGGAGAGGGCCAGGCTTCCTTGCCACAGCCGCAACACTGCCACACCAGGCAGGCAACTGAAATCAGCTCTCCCAGAACTCATCCCTCTTCATTTGCCCCCTAGCTCATGAATCTCTGCACAGGCCACAATCCCCAAATCCAATTCTTTCCAAACCCTGCTTTCCAGAATTTCTCTGACCACCCCCCCCCCATCACTGCTGTGTGTACACAAACTTATCTCATCCCTCCCATTCCAAGAGCTTCCTCTACGCCAGGACAGATCCTAGTGTCATCTCTCCCTTCTTTTTTCTCCTCCAGCCCCATTTCTCCCTCTCTTTCCAAACCTGTCCCACGTTACCCTCTTCCAGGAAGCCCTCCTGGGCTGACCCTCCATGGGCAGACACAGACAGTCCCATTGCTCCTCCCTGCTGTCACCGCTCTACCCACGGGATTTCTTCTCTTGAGTCATCAGGGTTCATGCCCATGCTTTTGTTTGTCATAGAGTAAAGGGCAGGCAGGTGGGGGCATTTGTTACACCGGAACAGGAACCTCTCCTCTGAGGCTAAAGGCCATGCTGTCTCCTCCACCGAATCTTCCTGGACATTTGATATGCATCCTCATTGGATGATGCACACAAAGGGGACTGAGAAAGAGGTGGCAGGGGCCAGGGTAGGCTGATGGCCCGGGTACCATGCAGTATGAGGTGACCTCTTTACCTGATGTGTACAGGTTCAGCTCTGTGGGCCTGCAGGGGCCGGAAAGCTGGAAACAGGGTCCCCGTCCCACACTCCATGAGGGGCTCCCCAAAACTCTGAGGACCTGATCTCCCACTCACACCCTCCAAAGGAGGAAGGATAAGGCTCGCACACATTTTGAGGGATTAGGGTGGCAGGTGCTGAGATCCTGGGAGAGGGGTGGGTCAGGTGAGCAGCCAGCATTATTAATTCAGGCATCGCCCTCATTATTATTCAAATTTATTCATATCCTTGCGCATTTTGCTAGTGCAGCTACCTGCTGCAAACTCTCCACACTCACGTTTCTCCTTCCCATAGCCCCCGGAGCCCAAGTCAAGGGCTTGAGAGCAGGGTGGCTGGTGGAAGCTGGCTCAGAGATGGAATTTACATTCACAGCTTTCCTGCATAGGGCCTGGACACCTAGTCTCCGGCTAAAGTCTCCAGAGGACAGTGGCCATGACCGTGGAGTGAGGGGGTGGCTGGTCCTGCCAGGAGGGAGGTGGGAGGTACCCAGGGTCAGATTTGGAAATGGGGATCTTGCTGGAGTGGGCAGTGAGGTGACCTTGGGTGTGTCACTTTATCAACTGGGCCTCCACTTGCTCACCTGTGCCATGACAAGCCTAGACCATGGACCACAAAGATCCCTCTATGCTCAAAGACTGTGAACACAGGCTATGTGAACACAGACCAGGGTTTACATCATGTCTGTGTGGCTTCTTAACTGAGTGACCTTGGCCCAGCTACTTCTTCTCTAAGCTTCATTTTTCTCCTTGGCAAACTGGGGTGACAATGTCTGCTTCCCAGTGGCTGTGAAAGCCAAATGGGGTGCAGTGTATACGACGCCTGCTGTAGTCCCTCACACGCACCCACTAGTCCCCCTGAGCAGGTAGACAGTTAGAGGGACAGCCTGAACAAGGACATGACAAGAAGGTGGCTGTAGCTTTCTGGGGATTTTGAAGTAAAATTTTCTCTTAGTTTAGGCTTGTTTGAAGCAATTTATTCCAGAGACAGGGAGATGGAAGCAATGATCAGGAGAAGAGGGGACACGAAGGGGTCTTAGGAAAGGCAGAAAGATCCTGAGCCCACAAAAGTCTCAGGCACTGTTTTCTGTAGGCAAGACAGCATCTGAGTAGCATCCAGATGCCCCCAGGTCGTACCAGCCTGGCTCATGATTAGGGGAAAGCCCCACATCCCTCGAGTTCTCTCTGCTCTGCACAGGTTGGTGAGAGGAATACCTCTCCCTCCTGTTCCCTCAGATTCACACCGTCACCTCCTCTGAGAAGTCACCTCCTCTGAGAAGTCTTCTGTGACTGGCACGCATCCTCTCACTTCTCTCTTCTGCCGGAGCAGGAGTACAAAGCTGTGCACCCTGCACTTCTCAATGCCCAGCCTCAGAGCCAACTCCCAGGGTCTGGACAAGGGATGTCACTCATAGCTCAAGACCCATCCGCAGGCCCAGGGCCTGGCCACTAGGCACAGCACAGAGGTTCTGGATATATCTGCGGAGAAGGGGGAGCGAGCAAATGTGCGAACAGTCTTACCTTGGGACCCTCTCACCCTTAAGAAAGGAGGCTGAGCAGGCCCTCCCCCAGGTGAGGCCCACAGACGTCACAGAGACAGAAGCAGGCCAGGAAGCGCGAAGGGGCAGTGTCCGCCCCCAGCGAGAGAAACAGTCATGCTGAGACAGGACTTTGACTTGTTCCCAGGAAGCTCCCTGAGAAAAGGGAGTGTGGAGCAGAGCTGAAAGGCAGGGAGAAACTGGTCTGGAAAGTTCCAGCACAATGAGGGGGGTGACAGGGGTCCAGGGGATGCAAGGGAGCGGAGGAGAAAGCCTAGGAGGTGAGCAGTGAGGTACAGACCTCAGGGCACCATTTGGCCAGGAGAGGGCAGACGTGTGCTGGTGACCTTACACTGAAAAGGAGGGTATTGGCAGGTCCTAGAGTGTCAAGGTGGAGCCAAGACTGCACACAGGTGGCCTAGCAGCAGCATCCACACACACCTACAGTCCTGGTCACACGTGCCCACTTCCAGGCAATGAAACCAGAAACGCAGGGAACCATGAGAAGGTGGCCATTGGGGGCCAGGCAGGAGGGAAAGCAGGAGTGTGACCACAGCAGTGAAAACACACTGGCCTCCCAGTGCACCACCCAATCCTGGCATCTCCAGTCTGGGGCTGAGGTGTGGTTCTGTGTGATTCTGCATATGTTTTTTTTCTTTTCTTTTCTTTTTTTTTTTTTTATTGAATGGTAACTGTGTACATTGATGCACTTTGGGGGTACAGTGTGGTGTTTTCATACACAATCCAAGACACTTCCATCAAACT